TACTGTTGCAGTATCTACATCTGTAGGCACTTATAAAGGACCCAGTCAACTACTTTAAACCTTTACCTAACTGCTCAATACCTTACCTGTCTGTATTAAGCTTCCAAACTAATACAATAGTCCCACAAAAATGTACTGTTGGTTCTGCTCTTCCTCCATTGAAATAGCACAAGGTCAAAGAAAAGGCGTGACTATGAATATATTTAACACAAACGCGGATGGTGAGTGTAGTAGTAATGCGCTCACGTGACCAGTCTCCAATCCCTCTAATGCTGCGTTTACACTAGCTTCTTTAACTGAGCCAGCCCTGTTTAAAGTGGGCCAGCACAGTTTCATTTGATAGTGTAAACAGTAACCAAACTGAGCTGAAGTGAGCTGGGCCAAACCAGGCCAGCATGGTTAGTACAGCAGGGCCAGCTCAGTCTGGTTCAGCATGGTTTGGCCCACTTCTGTAGTGTAAACGCAGCATAACAGTCGTATATCTATGGTATCACTAACTGGAATATGTCCTGATGATACTTTTACTGTACCCATTGGAACAACACTAACTTATGAGTGCTCTTATAGCTTTCTTACAGGATATTATTCGTTTTGGAATGTTAGTGGAACTGAACTGACTGGTGGTAATTTCAGACCACCTGGAATAAGTGAGTATGTGTTCGATAGCAATATTGGAAGAGCTACTATAACTATTTTAACTAATGGAAATATCACAGTGTACATACAATGTGGATTAGGAGGATTAGGACAAAATGTGAATATGGGTCTAACCTCTCAAGTGAGGTTTATTGGGACAGAAGTAGTTACCTTTGGTATGCATAGAGCTGTTGCACGGAAGTAATCAACGGGAGGGTGTGGCTAAAATTGAGCTAAATTGTCCGCCATGTTGGGTGGCAAGAAGGCCAAGAATGAATGGGGGAATGGAGAAAAAAATTTAAATAAATTCTGCAGTTGACATTCCAGGCTAATGCAAGGTAGGAGATGAAGATATTGAGTAAAGAAGTCTCTATAATATTCTGCAGCGAAGTATGATATCTCTTTGATGAAAAATCGCAGTTTGTTTCCATTCCTCCATTCATTGCGTGTACATTCTTGCCACTCAAGATGGCCGACAGGAAGCTCCGCCTACCCCGTTGATTACATCCATGCAACAGCTCTATAGCTAGTTTAAAGTAATGAAGTAGCTAAATCTTTTTCTCTTTCAGGTCCTCCTTCTTCATTATCCCACGGGTTAAGAGAGAATGATACTGTTAAGTTGTCATGGCTACCTCCTCTAGAAGAAGCCCTATCATTATTCACATATAATATAATAATAATGGAGTCAACTAATAATTCACTGACAGTAACTGATATAAACATTACTAACAATACATATGTCATAATATCACCAAGGGACATTGTGCAGTATACTCAGTGTAAGGAGTATCAGTGGGGGGTGAGAGCAGCTGCTAATTTAAGTTATGGATTTACTAATACAGCAATGGCAAATAGTAACTTTACCATTATATCAGGTAATGGTAACTTTATTAGTATTAGTATTATTATTATTATTATTATGTAGCTCTCTTTGTTTCTGATGAATTGATCATTTCTGTGAATGACAGTACTTCTTATAGTCTTCATTTTAACGTAAGTACATGTAAAAATAAAATTTAATATTTCCTTTAATATTGATATTACTAGGTATCTTTACCGTGTGACTATAACGACTTGTTTAATAACTATACTTACACGCTGTTGCAAAGAGATTACTGCAAACAAGAGATTAATTCGTCATTGATTGAGATCACATCCGAACAAATTGATGATAATGATGGATCGATTGTATCAATCAGTGTTAACATTGAATCACTGATTCATGATTTAACATGGTCAGTAGCTGTTAGTGTATCAAACAGGTTTGGTTCAGATACTACAGATTACACTAACATCACTAATGATAAAAGTAATTATTATATTGAATTTAATTATACTATTTTTACTTTTTACATATTAGCTAACATAAAGCAGTGTTACTCGGAGCCTTTTTTATCACTGTCAACTGCAATAATGCTTTCAAAAACAGTTACTCCTTCTCTAAGTCCAATATCATCAAGTATAGATCTAACTTTCTTATCTATTTACTGCACGGTTACAGTTTTATCTTTTCTTTAGTTTATAAATCTGGTTCTATTCAAACTTCAATGGGCTGCACTACAATTATTATTACTAGATCTAGTACAGTATACATCAGTAACATCACTACAACACCATCAACTAATGTCATTCCAATTGTTATTGGTACTATAGCAACTGTTATGATACTACTGATAGTAGTAATAATACTACTCATTTTCATGATATTTTTATGCTATAAAAGATCTGATATAGTAATTACTATTGCAATGACGATAAACATTGATTTTTGTGTTTTTATTGCAGGCTGGAAATAGATGTACTTCAAATCAGAATGTCACTGTGCCACTTGAGTCCTGTCCTGCATATGATGATATTTCAAAAATGAATACTGCAAACTGTGAAGCATGTGGCAAAAGAGATACATTTATAACTGCAGAATATGAAACTGTAAATGTTAATTAGCCAATTTTAATTTGATTGTCAATAATAATTAATAAAAAGTACAGTTTCCGCCCACTAATAATAATTATACCGAGTTCTATTGTGAAGATTGAAGAAAGGCTGTGAAGAAACTAGAAAGACTATTATATCGTTGTTAAAGATGTCCCTTACTCCGTTACTGTCCTTATTTTATGTCTGCTTCACTCTCCTCTTTTATTCAGTGGATTCTTGTTCAACAGTATCTAGATCAGGTGTATCACTAACTGGAGTATGTCCTAATGATACTTTTATTGTACCCATTGGAACAACACTGTCTTATGAGTGCTCTCACATGAACCTTGGTAGTGGGTATCTACAATATTGGAATATCAGTGGAACTACTTACAATACTTTTGGTTTTGAACCACCTGTTACTGGTATAACTGGTAGTGGTGTTCTAACTATTACCACTAATGAGAATTACACAATGTTAGATATTCAATGTGGAGTGTGTCAGTTAGCAGAATGTTATTCAACAAAGTTTATTGGAACAGGATCAGTTGAACTGACTGCCTTTGGTATATACACATTCTTTCAGTATATGTAATCAATACTGTCTCTCTTTCTCTTTCAGGTCCTCCTTCTTCATTATCCCACGAGTTAAGAGAGAATGATGCTATTGAGTTGTCATGGTCAGCTCCTTCTCTTCCTCCTACAGTAAATGAACATGCTAGATCATTCACATATAATATAATGATAATGGAGTCGACTAATAATTCACTGGCAGTAACTGATATTAACATCACTAACAATACATATGTCATAATATCACCAAGGGACATAGTGCAGTATACCCAATGTAAGGAGTATCAGTGGGGAGTGAGAGCAGCTGCTAATTTAAGTTATGGATTTACTAATATAACAATGGCAGATACCAACTTTACCATTATATCAGGTAATGATAACTTTTTAGTATTAGTATTATTTCTTATGTAGCTCCCTTTGTTTCTGATGAACTGATCATTTCTGTGAATGACAGTACTTCTTATAGTCTTCATTTTAACGTAAGTACATGTTTTAATATAATTTAATATTTCCTCTAATATTGATATTACTAGGTATCTTTACCGTGTGACTATAACGACTTGTTTAATAACTATACTTACACACTATTGCAAAGAGATTACTGCAAACGAGAGATTAATTCGTCATTAATTGAGATCACCTCCGAACAAATTGATGATAATGATGGATCGACTGTATCAATCAGTGTTAACATTGAATCATTGATTCATAACTCAACGTGGTCTGTGGCTGTTAGTGTATCAAACAGGTTTGGTTCTGATACTACAGATTATACTAATATCACAAGTAATTCAGGTAAATTGACATTTTATTTATTATTGTTGTTGTTGTTACTTGTTCTTTTGTTAGATGATGGTCCAGTTATTAATTGCCAGTCTGATCTTTTGATGTCTTCTACCATACTATCATCACAGACTACATCAGGTAATTGGATACTTTTATTTTTATATATCTTTTATTATTATTGTTACATATTCCCTAGCAATGTCTTCTACTGTATTCTCTATGTTCCCAACGTCACCTTTACCTTCTCTATCTTCTCTTACTTCTCAAGCTGTTGCTACTGAAACTCCCACACTTGGTAAGTAGTACAAAGTGTTTCATTATTATGGCAAAGCAATTTCTTTCTCTCTCTTTCTCCTTTCTATCTCTAAGGAACTAGTGATCCAAATGAATCCAGTTCTTCACAGATAGTTGGTCCAGTAGTTGGTACATTAGTAGCAATATTGCTATTAGTAGCAGCGATAGTGATAGTGATAGTAGCAGTTATTCTGTACAAAAGAAAAAAGAATGATGATGGAGGTAGTAAAAGTAAAAAAGATAATCAGAGTCAAGAGAAAGATATTTTATTTTACATATATTGTTTTGTTTCATTTTGTAGCTGTAAAAGGCAAACCTGAAACCAATGGCACTCAGTGAGTTGAAATAAAATAACAATAATAATTGATTAATGTTATCATTCTAGGGGGAGGAATGGTAATGGAGACTCTAACAATATGAGGGTAAGGGAGAGATAAGGAGACTGTCATTCTTATTTCATCATCTTTCTCAGGCTCATTCTTCTACTAATGATACTAATGGTGAATCAATGGTTAATGATGGTTACCAGAGTCAACAATACCAGGTAAGGGACAGACTCACACCTTTATACTTAAATGGTCCTATGCATTCAATAATGTATGGTAATACAGCTGGAATATAGTAATACGGCTGGAATATACTCCTGTTTCTTGTACAGTCTAATCACATATTGAACTGTATTATATTGTATTGTATTGTATTATTTGTTCATACTATCTTCCTATCTCTCTTCCTCCTGTTTACTGTTATGCTACACTGTCTTGCTTACATGTCCTTAGTCTCAGCCAACACCAACCAACC